CTCTATTCTTTATTCTGTTCTCTGTTCTCTCTTCTGTTCTCTGTTCTCTCTTCTGTTCTCTGCTGGCCCTGCAACTAGAGAGATGAAACAAAACAAGCAACTTCAAACAAAAATCAAACCAAATGTGAGGAACCTTTCAGTGAACTCTGAGCACATTCGTGCTCCGTCTGTTCAGTTCATTGTGAAAACGAGGTTGAGCTCAAATTAAATACATAAAAATTAAAACGAGTCTTCCTCAGAGAAATACTCATCATCTGCTGAAGTCTACTCTGCACCTGATCCCAGTCTGTGAGGGCCCCGGTCCTGCAGGTTTTTGTGGTTTCTCTGCTTCAGCACCTGGAGGTCCTTGGATCCTCGGGTTCTGCAGAACATGGTCACCATCCAGTCGGTGAAACATGCAGGACAGTGGCCCTCGAGGACCAGGACCAGGACCGGACCCGTGGTCTGTCAGCCCTCAGAGGACAAGTCAGGGATGACTCTCAGCGACCACCACATGTTTTACAGCAACTTCCCTGAAACGGACCGAGCTACAGACACTTCTGTCTTTACACACTCATCCTGAAAATTACTAATCCAGTTTAAAGATGTATCAGTTTCAATAAAATCCATCAAGTGATTTCCAAAATATTTTACTAACAGACGATGGGTGAAAACAATTAGACCAAACTAATTCACTGAATCAGATTTATTTATTTATGGTTCGTGTTTGGAGTTTGAAAAGATGATTTTACAGACGGAAGCAGACGTTTGAGGAAAATTCATCTTATTATAAGGTTTTAGATTAATACATTTAAATTAATAAAAAGGATTTGTTTGAAGGATTAAATATGAACCATCCATCCATTTTCTTTACCCGCTTCTTCCATTTTGGGTCACGGGGGTCGCCGGTGTCCATGTCCAGCACTCACTGTGCGAGGGGCGGGGGACACCCTGGACAGGTCTCAGGTCCATCACAGGGACACAATATGAAACATTTGACATAAATTAATAAAAATGATTTGTTTGAAGGATTAAATATGAAACATTTGATGTAAATTAATAAAAATGATTTGTTTGAAGTCCTCTCACTCCAGAGCAGAACAGAAGAAATGGTCCTTTTTTAAGGGACAGCGTCTCATTAAAACAAAAATCCTGATTATATTTTTAGTGCTTTTTAGTTTGTCTCCAGTTTAGAGAAATTTGTAAACACTTCACTTGTCTACAAACAACCTGTTGTTGTTTTTGTTGTTGTTTGTTTGCTCATGTTTACCACAGGAAAGAGCTGATTTTAATCTGACAGGAAGGAAACTTATTATTCTGTTTTTCAACAATAAAACCTGTTGGATTGTTGCTTATATTTTAGATTTATCGTGTTGAAAACAAACACAAACATCTGGTTTTACTGTAAATGTTCAGAAACATGAAGCTGACTGCAGGGCTTCCTGTTAGCTTAATATTTTAAAGAAAAACAGCTGATTTTTATTGCTTGTTAGAAATGAAACCACTTCTTAAAGAGAACAGTCTCATTGTTTCTGTTAATCTGCGTCACTTTTCAATTAAAAACAAATGGTCAAACCGTGTGTTATTATTTTAACTTTAAAAGTCATATTCATGAAAGTAAGAAGTTATTCTGAGTGTTTGTATCATAACAGTGACGTCTAAAGTCAGGATTATGAGAAAAAACTCAAAGAAAAGTCATAATTGTGAGATATAATTTCAAATTTATGACATGAGATAAACATTCAGAATTATATTTAGTCATGCTCAAACAAGTCAGTTATGTCATAATTATGACTTTGAAAATTAAAAATAATGAGTTTGTTTGTGATAAATATGAATTTCAAATCCTGAGATTTTTTTATTACTGTGGCACTGACAGGCTTCCGTACTTTTACTTTGGGTTTGTGCAAATTGTTTAATTTGTGTTTTTGTGTCGCATGATGTTCTTCAGTCTGCATTTACTCAAATTATCAGAAACTTTATGCAGAAAATTTATTCCACTTTTAATCCAGGATGCAAAAACATGAATTTAGGCTTTTTTATTTTCAAATTTTGTATTTTATTTTTTTGCGTCACGTTCATAAAATCCTGTTAACATTCTGTTTACTATCATTTATTAATCAATGTGTTTGTTTTTAACCCGTAAACTGAACATTTCATGTTTTCTGTCACAGCTGCAGGTTCCAGAACAAATTAACTTCAACCAAGTTCTCTTTGATTGAACCGTGGGCTTTATTTCTTTTAGAATAAATGCACAAGAGTTTATTTTTGTACCTTTCTTTCTTTAATCAGACAAACATTTCAACTTCCACTCATCCTCCCCTGAAAACAGCTAAACCTTCAGCGACCTCAAACAGGAAGTCGTCTGAGTGTCAAAATAAAACTCTGCTCTCTTTCGGGTCGTATTTCCTCCTGAACTGAAGGATTTTCCTTTTTAAATGATTTATACAAGAAAATTAAACAAAATATACAAAGTTAACTTTCTGCTCTGAAAGTAAAAGAAATGCAACAAAAAGTCTGAGCTCTTTAAAGGATGCACTGCCTTTGGTTGCATTTTAATAAAATTTTTCTTTTTATTTGTGAATCTCTACATTTCAAGAAGCAAAACAAGGAACGCGCTAAGCTTCAGCAGCTGGTCGGCTCTAAAAACATGCAGACCTGAGACAAGAAAAGCTTCTGCTCTAAAAACCACGTTCAGCCGGAAACGAGCGAGCGCTACTGTCGCCTTTAAACGAGGGGCATTCATCCACTTTCATGACATTTTATAGATTTATGAGGAGCGGTGGGCACAGCTGACCAAGCTTCACTAGCTCAGAATTGGCTAACTAAAAATCAGCTTAAACTGTTAAACAGGTGAAAACATTAGCAGAAGCTAACGCTAACCGCTGAGGCGACGGTCAGGCTGCGTCACACGTCGGGCGTCTGGCGGGACTGACGCAGACCTGCTGTTAGTTTGGTGGTTTGAGCCGAAGGTGGGGGGGTCATGTCATGTGTGCCAGTTCAACCAATCCAAGCCAGAGCTGGAGTCCTGCGTGACACAAAATGCTAAAGATGCTCACACAAAGTGCACGAGGAGCGTTGCTTGTGAGGGGTACTTGGTTTCTAATTCAGGTTTTATGCTTTCAGAAATATAGGCTTTTTTTTTTCTTTGCATCATGTTCATAAAAGTCTGTTAACATTCTGTTAAGTTCTTATTTATCAATAAATAAGTGTTCACTTATTGATTAACACAATAAGTGTTAATAAATCTTCAATCTTTAACACATAAAGATAGAAGAGTTACACTTTTTGTTAGCGGACTTGGTTAGCCAAACCTAATTTGGTGGAAGCCAGTTGGTCTGCTAACGGTTTCCAAAGTTTTTGAAAATGCTAATCTGCTAGTTTTACTGTTAGCTGTTAGCAGATTAGCAGCACTGTGCCCACCACTAGTTCTATGTTTTAAATCAACTGGAAATCTGGTACAATGTGAGAAATAATCTGTAATAAACATGTTTATTTTATTTTTATTAAAATGACAAAGTTTTTCTGATTGAGGGAAATTTAGATGATAATTTATAGACTTGGGCGTCAGCTTAATGAAATCAACAAACACTGGAAGGATCTTTTAGACAAAGAGATTTCTTGAAAATTAGAGTTTTTGTTTGAGTTTTGCCTAAATCTGACAAATAAATCTGTAAAAATCCAACATATGAGTCGGATGAGGCCAGATCTGAGTCCCAGTTTGACTGAAACTGACTCTTGGTTTGAAATATTTTTTTTTATTTTGGCCCCTTTTCCTCTAGTTTTATTTTTTGTATGAAAATCCGAGTTCATCAACAAAAAGACACGATGACTGAATTGGATTAGTCGGATTAGCTGAATTATTTTTGAACAAATTGGATTTTGCATCCATCTGGACAAATACCCCTCCTTTAAAACGTGCACACACTAAGAAGCTGATTGGCTCCACCTTAGACCCATGAACTGGGTGGAGCCTAATTATATGGGTGAGGAAAAGGAGGGGCGGATGCAGTCGGGCTAACGAGACTTCTGCTGCCAGAGGGCAGGGTGCAGGAGTCAGGGGTCATCAGGAAACCGGAGAAGGTGCTGGTGGACTCGCTGTCAGTGAACACACCGTTGGTGGTGCTGTCCTTCACCTGCAGCCAGATCATGTCCCCCATGGCAAGCTGGAGGACGATGGTCTGGCTGACGGTGACTCCGGGGGTTGAGTCGGACACTTTGATCACGGGGTAGAAGTTCTTGTAGAGGCCGACTTTAAGGGGCCTGTCTCCAACCTTGAGGTGAAAGGAGAAGACGTAGGTGCCGTTGATGGGGGCGGAGTAGATGCCGCTCATTGGGCTGTTGAAGTGGCCCTGCAGGTTGGTCAAGATGTTCTGGAAAGTTATGGGCCAGAATGGGGTGGGGTATGACTGGTTGAGGGATGCGGAGAATGATGACTTAATGGCCGGGGTACAGGGACCAGTCGGGCCAGTGACACCAGCCAGGCCTTGGTCACCTTTCAGCCCTGTAACACCCTGTATACCCTGAATACCTTGGTCACCTTTGTCTCCTTTGGCTCCCTTGGCTCCTGGCAGCCCGTCTGCTCCGTCCTTGCACGAACAGATGCCCTGCAGACCCTGATCGCCTTTTAGACCAGGTAAACCTGGCACACCTGCCACACCCATGTCACCCTTATCACCTTTACCACCCAGGGTACCATTAGATCCTGCCACCCCCGGAAGACCCCGGGCTCCCGCCGGCCCAGGTACTCCCTGTGGTCCTGGTGGGCCTGGAATGGTGTCACAGGAGCCAGGACATGAGCCCATCATTCCCTGAGGTCCTTGGTCACCTGGAGGTCCATTCAGACCTTGGTCTCCTTTCTCACCTAAAACATGAAAAATGTTTATTATTAGTCAGCATTAATTGAGTGAACAATGAGTCAGCATTAATTGAGTGAATGATGAGTCAGCATTAATTGAGTGAACGATGAGTCAGCATTAATTGAGTGAATGATGAGTCAGCATTAATTGTGCAGATTTCCAGTATTTTTTTTTATTAATTATTATTTGTTCATATGGATTCTTTTTATCTGTTTCTGCAGGTTTTCAGTTATTTTAGTTGTTCTTATGTCAAAATGTTCGGCTCGTCCAGATGGTCGATGCTGTTATATTTTAGTTTTTGTATCTTTTATACTTTTTAAAAATATTTAACTTTATTTATAAATATTTTCCCTGTAGAAGTTTATAGAAGTGGCTTAAATCCCTTCAAAAACATTAAAGTCTGTTTCAGTTCTGTTATGCTACTTTTAGCTACCATTCTACTATTTTTAGCTTTTAGCTAACCTTTGTTGTTTTTAATATGTTGTTAGCTTTTTGCTACTTTTAGCTTTTAGCTAACCTTCTGTTGCTTTTAGTGAGCATTTCATACATTTAGCCAGTGTTTTGCTACATATATGGGGCTGAAATGGTGTACGGGCAGGGCAGCTGACTCGGGACCCGAAGGTCCTGGGCTCAATTCCCGGTCATTCCACATCTTGTGGTGTCTCTGAGCAAGACACCCTGAATTGCTCCCCAGGCACCTACATAGCTGCCCACTGCTCCACCTGCGTGGTTGGGTTTTAGCTAGTGTTTAACTTCTTTTAGCTAGTGTTTTACTATTTTTAGCTTTTATCTAGTGTCTTACAACTTTTAACTAGTGTTTTACTTTATTTAACCTTTAGCTATTGTGTTACATTTAGCTTCTAGCTACAGTTTTGTTACTTTAGGTTTTAGCTAGTGTTTAACTTCTTTTAGCTATTGTTTTGCTACTTTAAGCTTTTAGATAGTCTTTGTTACTTTTAGCTACAGTTTTGTTACTTTGGGTTTTAGCTCATGTTTAGCTTCTTTTAGATCTAACATCTCAGTTTCAGCTTCTTCAGCTGGTCTTCAGCTGTTGTTCGGCTCTCAGCATTCTGTAATTTCATTCAGTCTCTGTAGCTTTTTGATAAAATCTAAAGTTTGAGTTCAACTTTATCTCTAAAATAACAAATTAATAATTTCAGATTAAATCTGAGCCGGAGTCCTGGATCGGGGGGTGGTTCTCATCTGGCGGGGGTTCCTCCAGACCACCTTCTGGTCTAAAGTCTAAGCACTACAGGTCTCCAGAATAAAGAGCGGTTTGGGCTCCGGTCCATTTAGAGGATTAAGGCTGGATTAGTAGTCTCAGATTACACAAAGCAGACCTTTGAATCCTCGCTCGCCCTTCGTTCCACTGAACCCGGCGACACCAGGACCGCCTTTCTCCCCGAAGTCTCCTTTCTCACCTGCGAGCAGATGAAGACGTCAGCGGTGCGTGAACGAGTGAATCAAACAGACACAAACCTGAAGATTACATTTAATCTGTCCACGGATAATCTGTTGCTCTAACTCGTCCAGATCCACTACTGAGAGAAATAGTTTTAACTTGGACTAACGCAGTTTTTATAAATACTGCGTATAAAAACTGATCTAAGGTAAAGAAGTCAAATGAACTCGTCAGTATTTTTAAGTTTTCAAACGAAGAACAGACAAACTCTAACAACCTTTAATCAAACTAAACCTCGGGATTAGAGAAAATTATAAAGTCCCCCTCTTGGTTCCGTCGAGGCCCACCTGTGCTGTGACGCATGACCCGGCTCACCTTTGATCCCCTGAGGTCCGGTGAATCCTCGGTAGCCCTTGAAGCCCATGAAGCCCCGCGGCCCCGCGCTGCCAGGTTCACCTGAACAAACAGAAGACGTGAACATGAGGACTCAGAAGTCAAAGGGTTCATGTGAAAATAAAGGAAGTGGTGCTCATGCCTGGGGGGCCCCGGTCTCCGTGGTCCCCCTTGGAGCCCACGGTTCCTTTGCAGTAGGAGCAGATGCAGAAGAAGGGGATCTGGTCGATGGACGGGGGCACGGGCGCGTTGAACAGCATGTCGCAGATCAGGTTGTTGGACATGGAGTACTGGGACGAGTCGGTCGGGGACAGCATGCGGTTGTCCCGCAAGGCGGCCGTGGTGTACGGGGGGGCCGTGGTGGCCCCTGTAGACGAGCTCGCGGCTGAGCAGGCGAGGGCCAGAACGAGGAGGCCCAGCAGGCCGGACAACATCTGGAGGAACATCAGTGTTTAAAGCTCTGGTGGAGGAACTCCACGAGAACGTTGTCCTTCAGTCTAAACAGGAAAACGTGGAATCGGTTATTTGACTCACCGTCTTCTCGCAGCGCTGCAGCATCTTCTCCACACGGCGTCGATGAAGATGAGCGGGACGAAGGCAGCTTTGATGCTTTTATAAGTGTGGACGGGGGGAGGAGGGGGGGCGTCCCCATTGTCCTGCTGAATGAGAAGAAGGACTTGGTCCTCTGCCGGCACCGTGTCCTCCTTCTCTGAAAAACTGCAAGAACAAAGAGAACCATTCAGAGCCGAAAGACGAGACCCGTCTCAGGTTCTCGCTCCACGCCCGGTTTTTATATCGTTTCATAAAAAACCTGTTTCCACCTGAAGACTCGAGAAAACTCGTCTCAACGTTTTTTCACACCAAACGTTCTGGAGCCTCTTCAGGTTCATGTTCCAGGACAATCAAACAACAAACAAACAGCTGGAGGAACATCCAGTCACTGATGAGGTGAAACATCAGCAGCTCAGTCAGGGGGCGGGGCATAAACAGACACTAGAAGTAAAGATGGGCACAGGTTCTGCACTGTAGCACTGGTGGCACCATTTCAGAATAAAGTTCCTGAATAAAGATGTTAATCTCCATCATCTCCAGGTCATAATCTGATCCACAGACTAAAAGAATCTGAAGAACTCTGAGCTCAAAGGACGAGGCCCTCAGGGGCCCCTAGACCAGGTCTGAACACAGTCTGAGCAGCTGAGGAGGTTCTCAGACCTGGACCGGTTCACGATGAAAAACCTCACATCTGTTTACAGAATGAGTCCTGCGTGGTCCAAGTCTGGACCAGGATCTGAACCAGAGCAGACCGTGGAGCCATGCTGACCCTCGGCTGATAAACACCCAACGGTCCTGGAGGGGTGCACGTCACCCTCAAACCCCCGACACAAAGATGAAAGCAGAACATACTTTGTGCTAAAGAATAACTTGAGGATGATCCTCAGCTACTACCACATCAAAGTTCAGCTCATCATCTGTGAAAATGACCGGATTATAGACATGTTGGTCAGTTAGCTGTGGCGGCCATCTTTAATTGGGGCGGCTCCAAAAGGTAATCAGTTGTAGATGTTCATCCAGTGATCACTGAGGTTCGTGAAAATCTGTCCAGTAGTGCATGAAATATTTTGCTAACAGATACATGGGGTCGAGATGGTGTAGAGGCAGGGCAGCCAACCCGGGACCCCAAGGTCCTGGGTTCAATCCCCGGTCGTTGCACATCTCCTGGTGTCTCTGAGCAGGACACCCGAACCCTAATTGCTCCCCGGGTGCTTACACAGCTGCCCACTGCTCCACCTGGTGTATCTCAGGTGTGATGGGTTAAATGAGAGACTAATTTCATCTTTGCATGGGAACATACAGTGACGACAACACACATCACTTTATTATTATTATTTAATTATTAACCCACAAACAGGCAGAAACATTATTATCCACCCATACATTCAAATAATTAAACAAAGTTCCTGAAAACACTTTTAATAAATTGCTTCATTATTGCCCGCTGACATCTTTTAGCTGTAGGTGATAATAAATAATGTTTGAGCCTGTGTGTGTGTGTCTGTTAGCAAAATATCTGAAGAACCAGAAGACGTATTTTAATCAAACTCTCAGAGAGGAGTCTTGATTTTTGTCTACAGTGGATTATCTTCTGGAGAGAACCTGATTCAAGATGGCTGCCACAGCTAATCAACATTAGCCGACACAGATCTGGCTCTAACTCGGCTGATTTGGTGGATAATGAGCTAAAAGTTGGTGTGGTAGTAGCTGAGAGTTGTCCCCAGCAAGGGCTCTAATGTCTTCAAAACACTTCAGATCTGAGCTGGAACTGGCCTGACGGGAGGCGACATGCATTCATCACAGCAGGCGACATGCATTCATCACAGCAGGTGACATGCATTCATCACAGCAGGCAACATGCATTCATCACAGCAGGCGACATGCATTCATCACAACAGGCAACATGCATTCATCATGGCGGGCAACATGCATTCATCACGGTGGGCAGCATGCATTCATCACGGCAGGCGACATGCATTCATCACAGCAGGCGACATGCATTCATCAAAGCAGGCGACATGCATTCATCACAGCGGGCGACATGCATTCATCACGGCGGGCAACATGCATTCATCACATCGGGCGACATGCATTCATCACGGCGGGCGACATGCATTCATCACAGCAGGCGACATGCATTCATCACGGCGGGCGACATGCATTCATCACGGCGGGCAACATGCATTCATCACAGGACGGTTTGGCCTTCAATAGAGTGAATGTTTATGGAGCGTTCACTCGATCTATTTTTCTTCCGTACATTTTTCGGCACGATTATTGTTGCGGGCAGCACGGTGGCTCAGTTGGTAGAGCTGCTGCCTCTCAGCGAGGAGGTTACCCTGGTTCAAATCTCAGCCGGAGGCCTTTCTGTGTGGAGTTTACATGTTCTCTCCGTGCTGCGTGAGTTTTCTCCAGGTACTCCAGTTTCCTCCCACAGACCAAAAACATGCATGTTAGACTGATGGTGACTCTGAATTGTCTCTAGGTGAGAGAGAAAGGTTGTTTGTCTCTATATGTCCCTGTGATGGACTGAGACCTGTCCAGGTGTCCCTGTGATGGACTGAGACCTGTCCAGGTGTCCCTGTGATGGACTGAGACCTGTCCAGGGTGTCCCCCGCCTCTTGCACAGTGATGGTTGGACATGGACACCAGTGACCCCGCGACTCTAAAAGGTAGATACGAGTAAAGATGATGGGTGGATTCTCATCCTGCAGTTTTCAGCTGTTTCAACAAATCATGTCTCAAAATGTTCGGCTCTTTCAGGACAATCCTGCTCTGACTTTTGGTATTGGTGCAGCTTTAGCTGTTTTATTTGGCCTTTTCTGGCATTTATTTCTCAGAAAAAAAAAGAACTGAGCTCATTTTACATCCTTCAAATGGGGTCGAGATGGAGTAGAGGCAGAGCAGCCGACCTGGGACCCAAAAGCCCCAGGCTTGATCCCCAGCCACCCCCACATGTCGTGGTGTCTCTGAGCAAGACACCCAATCCCAAAGCGCCCCCATAGTTGGCCACACCCCACATACCCAATTGGTAAATGCTTTCTTCTGCTAATTTAAGCTTGTTCTATCTTTTCAGCTGCATTTTTGTTGTTTTCAGAATAAATCAAGTTTTCATGATAATTTTTGCTGCTTTCGGCCTAATTAACTTCTTTCTGCTACTTTCAGCTTTGTCTACTATTTCAGCTACTAGTTAGCTGTTTTGTGCTAAATTGAGCTTTTTCAGCTAATTCCACATTTTTTAGCTCAGTTCAGCTCTTTCCACTTCATTTTGGTAGTTTAAGCTTTGTTCTGCCTTTTCAGCTACTTTAATCATTTTGTTGTTGTTCATTTCAGCTGTTTTTATTTAATTTCAGCTGTTTCTCAGCAAGTTCTTCAGCAATAAGCATTACACTTCATTTTTGCAGGAAATGCAGTTTCTCTAGTTAAATGTTGTGATTCTGGGTTTTCCTTGAGCTCTTTGGACAAACGTGTTTAGTTTGATCCCCTCGGGCTGAAAACAGCCGTGTGAAGGGAACAGAACAGGAAGTGGGTCTGACCGTCACAAAGCCGTGGGCACGGAGCCAGTTCTTGGACCTGGACAAAAGTTCTGTTCGTGAGAGGACCACACCCGCCGTCGCCCCGTCCCAAATCCCCGTGAGTGACCTGGGAGCCCGTGGAACCAGAGAAGTGTCCTTTATTTCCTCGGGCCAGCTTTTATTCTGGAAAAAAATCTGATGAAACTGAGAAGAAGACGAGACACAAAAGGACGCAGCGAGATGAATAGTTAGCCTTAAAACGTGTCCTGGTTTCCACAGCCCCTGGACTCAGAGACACCCTGGGGGCCCGCGGCCCTCTTGGGTACCTTATCGGTTGGTGCAGAGAGCAGCAGACGGTCCAGGTGGGGTGGGGGGCATCATGGTTCAACAGACCTGCACCAGACTCAGGGTCTGACTTCATCCTGGTGGAGGTGGACCCGGTTTTTATTGGAACTGTTGAAAATTTACTGACCCAAACAGACCCCCGAGACCCCCCAGAATCTGGACCATCCTTCCAGTAGACCCACTTGAACATCTTGCACCAAAACATTTGGGTTTCCTCAGGGGCGGTCCTAGTCTGTTAGGTGCCCTGGGTGACGACCCCCCCCACCCCCACCACCATAATGGTATAATGTACAGATACTGGATCATTTCCCTCCATAAATAAACCAGTATAATATTTTGTCTCTTTTGTTTAACTGGTTCTCTTCATCTACTTTTAGGACTTGTGTAAAAAATCTGAAGCTGTTTAAGCTCATATTGATGCAGAAATATAAAAAATTATAAAGAGTTCACAAACTTTAAGCATGCATGAGAGAGGACGGGGGTGTGCAGCGGGCGGGGGTGGGTGCAGGGTTCAGCAGCAGACTGTGGACTCTCGGTAAACACCGGTAGTTAGTTATTAACACAACAGAACCGGAGGAGCTCATCGTCTCTGTCCACACTAGTTACATGTAAGTATGAAAACCCTCGTCCGGTTCTGGGACAGACCGGTCTGGGTGACCCGGTTCAACGGGGGTCGTGTCTTCAGCTCGCGAGCGTCTTGTTCAGACTCAGATGTGTCTCTGGTTGTGGTTCTGCTCGGAGGCCTCTGAGCTCCCGACTGCAGATCGATACTCAACGTTTTACCCAACTGGACCACGGTCTGGTCTTTTGAACCCGGGCTCCTGTAGAACCGGGCTTGGGTCTGTGAACACCTGTGGTTCTGACGTGCGCTCCTGATCATGCTTTGTGTCCATCTGGCTGCAGGTCATGTCCCGCCTCGTGTTTCCTGTGTTGGTCTGCGCCGCTCTGTGCTCGTCTGTCTTCAGCCTGTCAGGTGGGTCTGTCTGGGTTCCAGCTACAGTAAACAGGTGCGTGTTAGCACGACGCCAGGGCGGAAGGACCGCACGGTCAGTGGAGAGGACTTTTACTGAGACTTCTTGTCAGAGCAGGATCCACACACACTCATCCAGCACTCTACTACATCACATCAGGACCATGAGTCCTGGTCCTGGAGGGCCACCATCCTGCAGGTTTAAACGTCCCTCTGCTCCACACACCTGTTCATCATCAACGATCAGCGGGCTTCTGCAGAACATGAAGACGTGATTCAGCACTGAAGCAGGAAACAGGTGAAGCCTGCAGGGTAGTGGCCTTCCAGATCCAGGACTGGACCCAGACTGAGCCAGGACCAGGACTGGACCCAGTCTGATCCATGCTCAGCAGATTAATGCTCACTGTTGCTGAGGGGTCAAAGGTCATTTAGAGTCCATAAATTTTGAAGCATTTCAGACTGCTGATTCACCCTGAAGGTCAGACTGTGCAGTGACCCTACAGGCCTCAGGTCAAAAGGTCACAGGTCATGACCTCTTCTCTCTAAAATCAACATGGCGGAACGACTCAGGTTTGGAAGTTTAATTTCAGAGAACCCCAGGACTTCTGGACCAGAGCCAGACCAGGGGACAGATGTTTACCCAGAATGCATTGCAGCAAGCAGCTCCTCCAGCTGTGAGCACGGTGGTGGAGGCTGATGGTTCGGGCTCCTGTCGGTCCATGCGTGGCCCAGACGTCCTCTGTGGACCACAGGGTTGTAGAGTCAGAGAGGACGTGTCCTCAGGTTGACGTCTCGTGTTTGTCTCTGTCCAGTTTTCTCCGACGCTCCGCAGGCGCACATGCTGCTCCGCTCGCGGCGAGCCAACAGCTTCCTGGAGGAGCTGAAGCCCGCCTCCATGGAGCGCGAGTGCGTGGAGGAGAAGTGCGACTTCGAGGAGGCCCGGGAGATTTTCCAGAGCAGGGAGGCCACGGTGAGACGTTTAACCGGGTCGTGTTTCACCAGGAGCAGAACTTGTTCAAGCTTCCTGAAGAGCTGCTTGTTCTGGACTTTAGCTGCTTCAGGCCTCGAACCCAAACTCTGATTTAATTAAAGCTGCTAAACTCAAGGGATGAGCCAGACCAGAGTCCACAAATTATAACTTTTTTTTTTTTTTAAGTTTTCAGCTCCAACGAGGTGATTCCTGAAGAACTGCGGCTGATTTTTATCAAATATTTGAAGAAACCGAATCGTTTTGGTAGAAAAACAATCAAAACAGCTAAAACAGCTAAAACCAGAGCTGAAACTTTAAACACAGAAAATACATTTTTAGCTCTTTAATGAACCAAAAGGCTGAACTCATTTGGTGGAAATGATTATAATCAAACATTATAAATGTATTATTTCCATTCTACGCTTCGGTGACATGAAGTTTAAAACTTTGATGTTTTTCAGCTAAAACGACTTTTTAAGTTTAAAAACGTTTTTCATGTCAGTTTATCAAACCTCGCTAACGGTTTCCTTTTCCTGTAGTCGTGTGTCGCGTTTCAGTGACTAATTTAGAGTTTTACCTGCTCTTTGTTTATTTGTTTGTTTGTTTGTTTGTGTGTCTGTTTGCAGCTGGAGTTTTGGACCGTCTACACAGGTAAATGAGTTATTTGTTACTATCTGTTGATCATTTTGAAACAATGTAAGAGAAACCACTCACCTGTGGACATGTTGACAAACAAACAAACAAACAAACAAACAGCTTACAGGGTGGTCCTGCAGGACGTTTCAGGTTGTAAAATAAACACTCTGAATGATGACGAAGAGGAAGACGATGAAGACGAAGAAGATGAAGAGTAAGAAGAAGAAGACGATGATGATGGTGATGATGAAGATGATGACAATGACAAAGATGATGACGATGATGATGACAAACTGAAACACTTTCTGGATGATTTTACAAGCTGCTCTTAAAGTTAGCCTGCGTGTTGTTTTAGTCGTTTCATCTGAACATCAGCTAACGTCAAGCTGCTTTAGCTGTTCTTACATCAAAACATTCAGATAACGTTTGCATCTTGTAACTTTTAGGCTTTTCAAAATATCTATTTTTTTTATCTGCTTCAGCTACTGGATCTGTTGGTTTTCTTATGCTACTTATAGCTTTTAGCTATTGTTCTTCTACGTTTAGCTTTTAGCCACCTATTTTATATTATTAGCTCTTAACTAGCTTTTTGATGCATTTACCTCGCCTTTTCCTACTTTTAACATTTAGCTATCCTTTTGATCCTTTAGCTTTTAGCTATCATTTTGCTTGTTTGAATTACCTTTGCTGATTTTAACTTTCATTTTTGATACTTTTACTTTTAATTAGCCTTCTGCTACTTTTAGCTTCTACCAATCATTGTGCTTCTTTTATTTTTTAGCTAGTCTTTTGCTACCTATAGGTTTTAGCATGCGTGTTTTTATAATTAGCTTTTAGGCTAGTGTTCTGCTTCCTTTGGCTTTAACGATTCAGTTTCAGCTTCTTCAGCCGTCTTTTAGCGCTCAGCATCACACCGCTTATGTGCTGCTTCTCAATGCAGTGCATTGTGGGTAATGCTCCCATGTCTGTGTTTCAGATGGGAACCAGTGTGTGTCCAACATGTGTGTTCACGGGGCGTGTGTGGATCAGTACCATGGCTACGCCTGCCGCTGTTTCCATGGATACGAAGGCAAATACTGCAACCACAGTGAGTCCAGACCTCCAGAACCAGGCTGAGGCCTGAACCATGGCGACCTTTCAAAATAAAACTTTGACCTAAATCGTTTCTTTTCTGAAAGTCACCTTCAGTTTCCTCTGATGCAATGTGAAAACACGTGGTGGAAACATCATTTTTGTACAAACCGGATTCCAAAAAAGTTGGGACACTAAACAAATTGTGAATAAAAACTGAATGCAATGATGTGGAGATGGAAAATGTCAATATTTTATTCGTAATATAACATAGATGACAGATCAAAAGTTTAATCTGAGTAAATGTAACATTTTAAAGGAAAATATGTTGATTCAAAATTTCACAGTGTCAACAAATCCCAAAGAAGTTGGGACAAGTAGCAATAAGTGGCTGGAAAAAGGAAATTGAGCATATAACGAACAGCTGGAAGACCAATTAACACTAATTAGGTCAACTGACAACATGATTGGGTATAAAAAGAGCTTCTCAGAGTGTCAGTGTCTCTCAGAAGCCAAGATGGTAAGAGGATCACCAATTCCACCATTGTTGCGCAGAAAGATAGTGCAGCAATACCAGAATGGTGTTACCCAGCGTAAAATAGCAAAGACTTTTAAGTTATCATCATCAACCGTGCATAACATCATCAAAAGATTCAGAGAATCTGGAACAATCGCTGTGCGTAAGGGTCAAGGCCGTAAAACTCTACTGGATGCTCGTGATCTCCGGGCCCTTAAACGTCACTGCACCTCAAACAGGAATGCCACTGTCAAGGAAATAACAGAATGGGCTCAGGAATACTTCCAGAAAGCATTGTCAGTGAACACAATCCACCGTGCCATCCGCCGTTGCCAGCTGAAACTCTACAGTGCAAAGAGGAAGCCATTTCTAAGCAAGCTCCACAAGCTCAGACGTTTGCACTGGGCTAGGGGTCATTTAAAATGGAGTGTGGCAAAATGGAAGACTGTTCTGTGGTCAGATGAGTCACCATTTGAAGTTCTTTATGGAACACTGGGACGCCATGTCATCCGGACCAGAGAGGACAAGGATAGCCCAAGTTGTTATCAACGCTCCGTTCAGAAGCCTGCATCACTGATGGTATGGGGTTGCATGAGCGCTTGTGGCATGGGCAGCTTGCATGTCTGGAAAGGCACCATTAATGCAGAGAACTATGTTCAGGTTCTAGAACAACATATGCTCCCATCTAGACGTCATCTCTTTCAGGGAAGACCCTGCATTTTTCAACACCATAATGCCAGACCACATTCTGCAGCAATCACAACATCATGGCTACGTAGGAGAAGGATCCGGGAACTGAAATGGCCAGCCTGCAGTCCAGATCTTTCACCTATAGAGAACATTTGGTGCATCATAAAGAGGAAGGTGCCACAAAGAAGGCCCAAGACGATTGAACAGTTAGAGGCCTGTATTAGACATGAATGGGAGAGCATTCCTATTTCTAAACTGGAGAAACTGGTCTCCTCTGTCCCCAGACGTCTGTTGAGTGTTGGAAGAAGAAGGGGGGATGCCACACAGTGGTAAAAATGGACTTGTCCCAACTTTTTTGGGATTTGTTGACGCCATGAAATTTGGAAACAACAGATATTTCCCTTAAAATGATACATTCTCTCAGTTTAAACTTTTGATCTGTGATTTGTGTTCTATTCTGAATAAAATATTAGATGTTGGCACCTCCACATCATTGCATTCACTTTTTATTCACAATTTGTTTAGTGTCCCAACTTTTTTGGAATCCGGTTTGTACTTTTAACTTTATGTTTTTAGAAACAGAAGCTCAGAATGAACCTTTAAAAACTGAACTTCAGTGTTTAAAGTTTTTTCGGTGCCAACGAGCTGAATGCAGGTAAACGAGACACGAGAAGCAGGAAGCAGGTAAAACAGAGTTTTTAACAGGAAGTGAGAAAACTTGCAAAACACAAAGAAAAACTAAATCTGAAAAATGAAAATAACTGAGAACATCTTTAAAGGGAGGAGGACGATTACTGAGAGAGAACAGGTGAGACAATTACTAATGAAATCAAGAGGACCGTTTTTTCTTCTTCTTCTTTTGGCTGCTCATTCTTCAGGGGTCACCACAGCGAACTGTCACACGAAGACTTTTTTTTTTTACGCTGAACGCCTCTTCTGACGTAACCACAGACCACTGAGCTACCACAGCCCTCTGTGGAGCAGAAAGCTGCCAGGGCCTTGCTCAAGGGTCCAGAGTGGGACAAATGAGGGTGGGGGCAGGTGTTGGTTCTTCACCTTTCCACCCACATTTTGATGTTGTCTGTATCGGGAGTTGAACCAGCGATCTTCCGATCACAGACCCACCTTCTCTAACCTCTGCACCACCACTCCCATGAGGACTGTGAAGAACTAAAAGTTTTTTTTGTATTTTATAAACAGCATTTACAACAAATATGGCAACAAAATCAGAGATATTCGAATCTGAAAAAAAACCCAGCACAGGTTGCTTCCAAACACACAGAAATAATAATTAAATAATAATAATAATGATAATAATAATACAAGAATTAAATAGAATAAAATAACAAAAATAATAAAAATAAACTAATAAACTAAAGACTAGGGGTTTTCCAGTAGTTTCAGTTCGTTTATCACATGGAACAACTCCACACCTTGAAGTTTGCCCATGAACTTCATAGATAAGAAGAGGTGGCAGAGTTCCTTGTGAAAAGTGGGTAATGATGGTTTTGTCTTAAGGAAACGGCACTTGTGAATGAAATATTTGCCCGTAACAATAATTACATTTAATAACCTTTCAAGATCTTTTTCTTTTCTCAGGGATCCAAAAATAATGTCATTCTTAGCAAATTCATGTGAATTTGGAAGTTTAGGGAAAAGCCAGTAGTGCACGTCATCCCACAAAGCTTTACAATATTTATACATACATTCATAGAAACTGTGTTCTGTTGATTCAATATTATCATCTCAAAATGAACAAGTGTTGTCATCAATTGCAAAACGATGTCTGAGGAATTCCTTAGAGGGGTAAACCCCTGAAAAGGTTTTATAGTGAACTTCCTTAGCTTTTGGAGGAATGGGAAGATTTAAATAATTTGTTCTAATTTTAAGAACTAAAAGTAAACAAACAGAGTTTTGAATCTTTTGATCACGTGTTAGTAAAACTTCCATCTCCATGTTTTACCACTGATCTGGTTGGGTCACGGAGCCAACAGGTCCAGGAGACACACCCAGACCTCCTTCCCCTAGTGACACTCTCAGCTCCTCCATGCAGACCCCAAGGTGTTCCCAGACCAGAGAGAACACATAACCCCTGCATGGAGGTCTGGGTCTCATACTGAGACGTGACCAAAACCTCCAAAGGGAGGCCTCCTGATCAGATGAACCTCCTCAGTTGACTTCAGAGGAGCAGTGGCTCTACTCTGAGTTCCCAGATGACAGAGACCCTCACCATATATTTAAGGCTGAGTCGTCATCTCCCCCCCCCCCCCCCCCCCCCCCACACACACACACAAACACCTCCCCCTCCCCACAAAGGCAGATCATTTCAGCTGCTTGGATCCAGGATCTGGTTCTTTCAGTCCTGATCAAACCTCATGACCAAAGATGAGGGTTAGAACAGACCAGTAAATCCAGAGCTTTGCCTTTAGACTCAGCTCTTTCTTCACCACGACAGACCAAAGCAACACCCTTGTTACTGAGAACGAGACTTAGATCCATTGATCCATCTCCCATCACTCAGAAACAAGACGCCCAGACACTGAGAGTCTTCCACCTGAGGCAATCGTCCGACCTGCAGGAGGCTGGCCCCGCCCAAACAGACCAGCCTGCTCTGATTGGTCAGCTCAAGGCTCCGCCCACAGTCTGAGTTAAATCTGAAGAGATTTTACAAGCGAGACAAGCTTTTCCACATGTTGCCAATGTTTTCAAACACATTTGAAAGTAATTTGATTTAACAAGATTGTTCAGCTGTTTATGGGTCAAAACTTCCACTTGATTCAGCCCAGACCTCATGAAGGGAACCAGCTAACGAGAAGGGAACCAACGGGCTCATAAAGGCAGACCCATCCTCCGATAATCACTCACTTTAACTAGATGTAACTTTTCTAGAGACTGAAGCAATACGAATATCAACCGCTCTTTTTCTCGCCTTTACTTCCACTCAAAGTTTGATGTCAAAGTTAAAAAGCCATTCCGCCTCTTTTAGATGTAACGGCCACCAACTGCTCGGTGGACAACGGCGACTGCGACCACGAGTGCACGGAGAGCGAGGACGGCCGGAGCAGGAGCTGCAGCTGTCTGACGGGATACAAGCTGGAAGACAACAGCAGGAGCTGCGTCCCCAAAGGTTCCACTTCCTGCGGTCAGCTGCTGATCAACAGGTCGGAGTACGCAGTGCCACTGGTGGAGGGGCTGCTACCCTGGACGATTGGAGGAGAGGTGGGCAGGAAGGGGGAGAGTCCCTGGCAGGTAACTGATCCGCCAATGGACAGGTTTGATGTTTGTCCTGACGCTTACCATCTGCTGAAACTCTTTACCTCGACAAACGTAGCAAGAAGTTCTCGTTCTATTTCGTATTGGCTTCGCCCTTTAAGAGCTGTCGCTATTGGGTTATCCCGTCATGCAAAGCGTCGCACTGAAAAATTTAGTCCATGGCCACCTGTCATGTGGGCCCCACCTGGGCCATATAAATTATGTTAAGAGCGGGTAATCGGCTCCCATTTTTCTTCAGCAAGCTAGCTAGCGCTGTCAGAAGAACGAAGAAGAAAAGTTGTCCAGCTTTGACCGGCACAACCTTTGCTAAGGCTGCCTGGGTTTCCGCCACGCCAACCTCCTGCCATCCTGGTGAGTTCTTCCTCCCCGAGGAGAAACAGAGACGAGCAGCCCTGTTCAAGGTAAGCGCCGAGGAGTACTTTTCCGTGGCGGGCCGCTACCCGCTGGACGACGCTATCGCCTTTTAAAACGTTATTTCCTCGCAGTAATCAAATGATTACCTCAAAAAAGGCGATGTTAGCAGCAGCCCCGCCAAATGTTTTTCCGTGGGGGGCCGCTACTCGCTGGACGACACCACCGCCTTTTCTAACATGTTTTTTCTCAAGGTAAATTAGATGATTTCCTCAAAAAAGGCGTTGTTGGCATCAGCTTCACTTAATGATTTTTTCTGTGGCGGGACGCTACGCGCGGGACAACGCCACCACCTTCTTTGACACAGAGTCACGCAGCGAACCAAATGACTCCTCCGAGAAAGGCGATGCGGAGCTGCCCCTTCCCTCCTGAAAGCGTAGTGACGGAAGACGGGTGGCTGAATGCTCAGCCACCTCGGATCTTCCCAAGTCGGCGACCACACCGCTCCCAGTCGTCGGTGCCCTCCTCTCAAAGCTGCCCGACATAATCCAGGAGGATGTTAACACAAGGGACTTTCTGTCCCTCGCCTCCCTCCGCCCTGATCGGAGGATCTGGCAGCAAGGTTGGCTCTGCCCCGGCTCTTCGCCCTGACTCCATCTGGCCTCACTGCCCAGTTGTGACGTCACACTGGAACGAGGCTGCAGCTGGGCTGGTAAATTGAAGACAGCCGTCTTCACCTCCATCTCCAAAGTGGAGGGTTTTACCGATCAGTGTTTTACCCTCGGTCACACACCCCCCCCCCCCCCCCCCCGGAGCCAAGCCTGGCGGGTGGCACTTGGGGAAATGCTTCCAGGATAGACCAGCAACCTTTGCTCCAGGGAAGCACGACCATAAGGTGACAAGGTCTCCAACCGAGCTCACTAGTGATCATCCCAGACAGCCGCAGCGAACAACAATGTCGTTCTGCTGGCCTAAAGCATCTCGAAGAGGCTGGAAGAAGCAGCTCTGCTGGAGGAGACAAAGAACTTTTTCTCCGTAAAGCTGCTGATGTAATCTTAAACATGTGCCACCTCTGTGATTTGCCTGTCCTGCATCGCCACCTGCATGACCATGATCCAGAGGATCACTTGGCTTCGCCTCTCGCCATCCGTGTCCGAGAGGCTGCAGAAAGGCCTGCTGGAGGGCCCCATCACCCTAGAGGCGATGTTCGGGGCCAACTTCAGGACCATCCTTGAGGAATCGCAGAGATCCGAGGAGGTCTCAGAGACTGTACACTGTCTGGTGATGTCACAGTCCATCTGCCCCTCCGGCCGCTGGAGGGACTCAGCTGCCTCTCTTCACACTTTCCCCACACAGAACAAGCCAGTAACCTCTAAACAGCGTTTTAAAAGGCACCGCAGTTAAGTAAATATCACAACACTCGTCTGCCACATAAGCTAAAATGATGGGTTTTTTCAGCAGACTGAGTCTGATAAAATCCCCCATCTCTCAGCCAGAGCCTATTTTTTATTTCTACTGTTTTTTGTCTGTCCAATCACAGCGCAGCTGGAGTAAACATGTTTCTCCACAACAGCTGCAGCCTCCACCGAAACGGTGTCTCACTCAGAAGCGCTCACGCCTCCTTCGGTGTGTGCCGACCCACCTCAGCTCTATATGAGACCACAGGGGGGGGCACTCTCCTCCAGGCAGGAAGATCGATCAGGAATTACCCAGAAATAGGTCAGCATCTTTGGGTCTGTTCGCTGAACAGATCCGTTTAGAAAGGATGGGCCTCCCACAGGATGTGGTGCGTACGTTCAGGGCGCACGAGCTGCTTCCACCACAACGCTGTACACATCAAGTGGACAGTTTTTCAGAGCTGGTGCGCAGAGAAAGGCGTGGAGGCCATTCCATGGCCACTAGGTGACGTGCTGTCTTTTCTGCAGCAGCTGATGGACGGAGATCTAGCGTTCAGCACAATTAAAACTTATGCTGCTGCTATTTCTTCCTGTCACGAGGGCTTCGGTGACAAAACAGTTCTTAATCACCCGATGATGAAATGTTTCCCGAAAGGTGTATGGAGACACAGACCGGTGTCACGTCCACTAGCTTCACAGTGAGACCTAATGATGGTCCTGCACGCTCTGATCAAAGCTCCTTCTGAGCCTTTAGATCAGGTTTCACTTTAATTTTCTGTCATTAAAACAGCCCTGCTGTTAGTTCTGACGTCAGCGAAAGAGAGTGAGTGATTATCTGCTCTCTCTGTTGCTTCCTAATGTCTCAGAATTCAAGCTGACGGCAGTTCAGCTGGACTGCGTTTTAACCCTGCTCTGAAAAGCATCACAAGCTCATTCAGACTGAGAGTGATAACTTGGATGGGTTTTATCCTCTTCCTCATAATTCTGAGGAGGAAGTAACATCTCACCTCCTTCTGTCCCATGCGCGCATTTTCATGTTCATGTTCATGCAGTGCGCCGCTTTCAGCATATGTTCGTGCATTACTGGGACAGCTCTTCAGGACGTCCTCTATCCACCCAGCGCCTCTCACACTGGTCATGTGAGGCTATTTCTGAAGCTTACAGTTCATGTGGACTAGATCCTCCAGAGAATCTCAGCACATTCCTGCAGAGGGTTTTCATCCGCCATGGCTCTGCATGGAGGGATGACAGTGGAGGATTTTTGTATGGCGGCTGCCTGGTCATCACCATGTTCAATTATTCGTTTTTTAACTACGTGATGTTTCTACTTTCTCCATGACCCATTCTGTTCTCAGGGTTCTGACAGAATGATTATTATTTGTTTCATGGAGCCTCACTTTTGAGCTCACATCTGTCTGCATGCAGTCGCAGTGCGAGGTATTTATTATCAGTCACAAGTTCATGACTGCTGATTTTATCGTTATTAATCGGTTCATCCTGAGGAGCTGTTGGTCTGCTCTGTTCATCGTTACACTGTTACAATTCGTATCCTCCGTTGTTCCTATTCACAGCAGCAGGTCTGTTATCTCAGCCTTTTTTCCTCACCAGATATCTTCTCCGGCGCGCTCCTGCACATGGAGCACGCAATTACGCAGCGCGTAATTACGCACACAGAAGGCTGGGTGATGGAATGTTTTTTTTTGTGCAAGCAGGTGCTTCATGTTGTGTCTGAATGGACCCAGTGAGGCATAGACTACATCCTGCTTTGCCTTTAACCCAATAGCGACAGCTCTTAAAGGGCAAAGCCTATACGAAATAGAACGTTGGTTACGTACTGTAACTCCAGATTCTATGAGTATAGGCAGAGCTCTTTAAGCTCTGGGCCTCACTGGTTCCTAAATAGCTGAAGAAACAGCTATTTGAGAGCCGATTACCCGCTCTTAACGTAATTTATACGGACCGGGTGGGGCCCACACGACAGGTGGGCGTGGACTAAATTTTTCAGTGCGACGCTTTGCGTGACGGGATAACCCAATAGCGACAGCTCTTAAAGGGCTACGCCTATACTCAGAATCTGGGGTTACAGTACGTAACCAACGTTTTGACAGAAGTTATGTTTAATTTTGCTCGGCGTTGTTGGCACACAATGCCACTGAGCACAGAAACCCAATTGTGTACTTCTGTAGACCGGTGTCACGCCTGGTATCATGATGAGCCGACTGCGAGTCTTACCCCTCCTGAGGCAAAACCCTGGTCCAGTGACAGGGTTCAGGTTTCAACAAGACAATGCCCATCCACACGTGTGTCTGTGGACAACCTGTCTCATGTTCAGGTCCTCCCATGGTCAGCCTGGTCCCTTAAAGACCCAGAACCGATCTGCTGGATCTCCAGGTCCAGTTGAAGCAGCAGGTTTTATTAAATAGGGGGTTCTAAACTTTTAGCTTCTGACCCACAAGGCTGTAAGAACGGCCCGTTCAATTAAAGTTTTTAAATTTGCAGTGAATTGTTGTTGTTTTTGGTTTTTTTACCTTTGGCTCATTCAGGAAATAACTTTAGCTTTTTTCAACTTTTGTCATTTTCATAGTATTTAACTTCATTTACACCACTGGAACACTGTTGTCTCTAAATCTCCTTCAGCCATGAAATCAGTTTTATTAAGCTCCTTTTAACTTTTACTTGGTCTTTTGCTACTTTTAGCTTTGAACTATTCTTTGCAGCTTCTAAAAAGCTTTTTTCTTATTTTGGCCTTGCACAATTAGTGGTCTTCCTTTAGCTTTTAGTGAACTAACAAATATTTTTAACTATTTGATACATTTTGCTAACTGTTTCCTACTTTAACTTTGTAGCATTTTTTTCAAACTTTAGCTTTTAACTATCATTGTGCTAGGTTTAGTTAGCCTTTTGATTCTATAAGCTAACATTTTGCATACTTCATTTTGCTATTTTAATCTTTTTCTAGTCTATTGTATAGCTTTCAGCGTGATCATACATTTAGTTTTCAACGTGCTTGTTCTTACATTTAGCTGTTAGCGTGATCGTTCTTACATTTAGCTTTCAACGTGCTTGTTCTTACATTTAGCTGTTAGCGTACTCGTTCTTACATTTACCTGTTTGGGTGATCGTTCTTAAATTTAGCTGTTAGCGTGCTCGTTCTTACATTTAGCTGTTAG